GGCAGCGCAGACTTGTGCAGGCATGCTGGAAGAATCGGCAGCGCAGAGTTGCGCAGCCGCAGGCATGTCGGCAAAAATCGGCCAGGTCGCCAGAATGGGCTGTGCAGGGCGAGTCTGGCCACCCAAGGCTTGATGGAAAAGAGGGCTGGTACAGAAACTGGGGCGGTGGCAGCCATGCCACCAGTTGGAAAAATCAGCAGCGCAGAGTTGGGCTGCCGCAGGCATGTCGGGGAGAATCGGCAGCGCCGACAAAATCGGCCAGGTTGACAGAATGGGCTGTGCAGGGCGAGCCTGGACACCCAAGGCTCGACGAAAAAGAGGGCTGGTCCAGAAACTGGGGGCGGTGGCAGCCGGGCCACCAGTTGGAAAAATCGGCAGCGCAGAGTTGTGCAGCCGCAGGCATGTCGGGGAGAATCGGCAGCCCCGACAAAATCAGCCAGGTCAACAGAATGGGCTGAGGAGGGCGAGCCTGGACACCCCCAAGGCTTGACGAAAAAGAGGGCTGGTCCAGAAACTGGCGCGGTGGCAGCCATGCCGCAAGTTGGAAAAATCGGCAGCGCAGAGTTGGGCTGCCGCAGGCATGTCGGCAAAAATCGGCAGCCCCGATGAAATCAGCCACGTCGACAGAATGGGCTGAGGAGGCGAGCCTGGACACCCAAGGCTTGACGAAGATGAGGGCTGGTCCAGAAACTGGGGGCGGTGGCAGCCAGGCCACCAGTTGGAAAAATCGGCAGCGCAGAGTTGGGCTGCCGCAGGCATGTCGGCAAAAATCGGCAGCCCCGATGAAATCAGCCACGTCGACAGAATGGGCTGAGGAGGCGAGCCTGGACACCCAAGGCTTGACGAAGATGAGGGCTGGTCCAGAAACTGGGGGCGGTGGCAGCCAGGCCACCAGTTGGAAAAATCGGCAGCGCAGAGTGGGGCTGCCGCAGGCATGTCGGGGAGAATCGGCAGCCCCGACAAAATCAGCCAGGTCAACAGAATGGGCTGAGGAGGGCGAGCCTGGACACCCCCAAGGCTTGACGAAAAAGAGGGCTGGTCCAGAAACTGGCGCGGTGGCAGCCATGCCGCAAGTTGGAAAAATCGGCAGCGCAGAGTTGGGCTGCCGCAGGCATGTCGGCAAAAATCGGCAGCCCCGATGAAATCAGCCACGTCGACAGAATGGGCTGAGGAGGCGAGCCTGGACACCCAAGGCTTGACGAAGATGAGGGCTGGTCCAGAAACTGGGGGCGGTGGCAGCCAGGCCACCAGTTGGAAAAATCGGCAGCGCAGAGTTGTGCAGCCGCAGGCATGTCGGCAAGAATCGGCAGCCCCGTCTAAATCAGCCAGGTCGACAGAAGGGGCTGTGCAGGGCGAGTCTGGCCATCCCCAAGGCTTGACGAAAAAGAGGGCTGGTCCAGAAACTTGGGCGGTGGCAGCCATGCCACCAGTTGGAAAAATCGGCAGCGCAGAGTTGGGCTGCCGCAGGCATGCCGGGGAGAATCGGCAGCCCCGGCTAAATCGGCCAGGTCGGCAGAATGGGCTGTGCAGGGCGAGTGTGGCCATCCAAGGCTTGATGAAAAAGGGGGCCGGCCCAGAAACTGGGGCGGTGGCAGCCATGACACCAGTTGGAAAAATCGGCAGTGCAGCCGCAGGCATGTCGGCATAAATCGGCAGCCCCGACAAAATCGGCCACGTCGACAGAATGGTCTGGGGACAGCGAGCCTGGACACCCAAGGCATGATGAAAAGGACTGCTGGTCCTGAAACTGGGGCGGGGGCAGCCATGACACCAGTTGGAAAAATCGGCAGCGCAGACTCGGGCAGCCGGAGGCATGTCGGGGACAATCAATCGGCAGCCCCGATGAAATCAGCCAGGTCGACAGAATGGGCCGAGGAGGGCGAGCCTGGACACCCAAGGAATGACGAAAATGAGGGCGGGTCCAGAAACTGGGGGCGGTGGCAGCCAGGCCACCAGTTGGAAAAAGCGGCAGCGCAGAGTTGTGCAGCCGCAGGCATGTCGGGGAGAATCGGCAGCCCAGACTAAATCAGCCCGGTCGACAGAAGTGGCTGTGCAGGGCGAGTCTGGCCACCCCCAAGGCTTGAGGAAAAAGAGGGCTGGTCCAGAAACTTGGGCGGTGGCAGCCATGCCACCAGTTGGAAAAATCGGCAGCGCAGAGTGGGGCTGCCGCAGGCATGTGGGGGAGAATCGGCAGCCCCGATGAAATCGGCCAGGTCGACAGAATGGGCTGAGGAGGGCGAGCCTGGACTCCCAAGGCTCGATGAAAAAGGGGGCCGGCCCAGAAACTGGCGCGGGGGCAGCCATGCCACCAGTTGGAAAAATCGGCAGGGCAGAGTGGGGCTGCCGCAGGCATGTCGGGGAGAATCGGCAGCCCCGACGAAATCGGCCAGGTCGACAGAATGGGCTGAGGAGGGCGAGCCTGGACTCCCAAGGCTCGATGAAAAAGGGGGCCGGCCCAGAAACTGGGGCGGTGGCAGCCATGCTACCTGTTGGAAAAATCGGCAGTGCAGAGTGGGTCTGCCGCAGGCGTGTCGGCAAAAATCGGCAGCCCCGACAAAATCGGCCACGTCGACAGAATGGTCTGGGGACAGCGAGCCTGGACAGCCAAGGCATGATGAAAAGGACTGCTGGTCCTGAAACTGGGGCGGTGGCAGCCAAGCCACCAGTTGGAAAAATCGGCAGCGCAGAGTGGGGCTGCCGCAGGCATGTCGGGGAGAATCGGCAGCCCCGACGAAATCGGCCACGTTGAAAGAAGGGGCTGTGGAGGGCGAGTGTGGCCATCCAAGGCTTGATGAAAAAGGGGGCCGGCCCAGAAACTGGCGCGGTGGCAGCCATGCTACCTGTTGGAAAAATCGGCAGCGCAGAGTGGGGCTGCCGCAGGCATGGCGGGGAGAATCGGCAGCCCCGACGAAATCGGCCAGGTCGACAGAATGGGCTGTGCAGGGCGAGTGTGGCCATCCAAGGCTTGATGAAAAAGGGGGCCGGCCCAGAAACTGGGGCGGTGGCAGCCATGACACCAGTTGGAAAAATCGGCAGTGCAGCCGCAGGCATGTCGGCATAAATCGGCAGCCCCGACAAAATCGGCCACGTCGACAGAATGGTCTGGGGACAGCGAGCCTGGACAGCCAAGGCATGATGAAAAGGACTGCTGGTCCTGAAACTGGGGCGGGGGCAGCCATGCCAACAACAGCGAGCCTGGACAGCCAAGGCATGATGAAAAGGACTGCTGGTCCTGAAACTGGGGCGGTGGCAGCCATGCCACCAGTTGGAAAAATCGGCAGGGCAGAGTGGGGCTGCCGCAGGCATGTGGGGGAGAATCGGCAGCCCCGATGAAATCGGCCTGGTTGGCAGAAGGGGCTGTGGAGGGCGAGCCTGGGCACCCAAGGCTTGAGGAAAAAGAGGGCTGGTCCTGAAACTGGGGCGGTGGCAGCCATGCTACCTGTTGGAAAAATCGGCAGTGCAGCCGCAGGCGTGTCGGCATAAATCGGCAGCCCCGACAAAATCGGCCACGTCGACAGAATGGTCTGGGGACAGCGAGCCTGGACAGCCAAGGCATGATGAAAAGGACTGCTGGTCCTGAAACTGGGGCGGTGGCAGCCATGCCACCAGTTGGAAAAATCGGCAGCGCAGACTCGGGCAGCCGGAGGCATGTCGGCATAAATCGGCAGCCCCGACAAAATCGGCCACGTCGACAGAATGGTCTGGGGACAGCGAGCCTGGACACCCAAGGCATGATGAAAAGGACTGCTGGTCCTGAAACTGGGGCGGTGGCAGCCATGCCACCAGTTGGAAAAATCGGCAGCGCAGAGTGGGGCTGCCGCAGGCATGTCGGGGAGAATCGGCAGCCCCGATGAAATCGGCCTGGTTGGCAGAAGGGGCTGTGGAGGGCGAGCCTGGGCACCCAAGGCTTGAGGAAAAAGAGGGCTGGTCCTGAAACTGGGGCGGTGGCAGCCATGCCACCAGTTGGAAAAATCGGCAGCGCAGACTCGGGCAGCCGGAGGCATGTCGGGGACAATCGGCAGCCCCGATGAAATCGGCCTGGTTGGCAGAAGGGGCTGTGGAGGGCGAGCCTGGGCACCCAAGGCTTGAGGAAAAAGAGGGCTGGTCCTGAAACTGGGGCGGTGGCAGCCATGCTACCTGTTGGAAAAATCGGCAGTGCAGCCGCAGGCATGTCGGCATAAATCGGCAGCCCCGACAAAATCGGGCACGTCGACAGAATGGTCTGGGGACAGCGAGCCTGGACAGCCAAGGCATGATGAAAAGGACTGCTGGTCCTGAAACTGGGGCGGTGGCAGCCATGCCACCAGTTGGAAAAATCGGCAGGGCAGAGTGGGGCTGCCGCAGGCATGTCGGGGAGAATCGGCAGCCCCGACGAAATCGGCCAGGTCGACAGAATGGGCTGTGCAGGGCGAGTGTGGGCACCCAAGGCTTGATGAAAAAGGGGGCCGGCCCAGAAACTGGGGCGGTGGCAGCCATGACACCAGTTGGAAAAATCGGCAGTGCAGCCGCAGGCGTGTCGGCATAAATCGGCAGCCCCGACAAAATCGGCCACGTCGACAGAATGGTCTGGGGACAGCGAGCCTGGACAGCCAAGGCATGATGAAAAGGACTGCTGGTCCTGAAACTGGGGCGGTGGCAGCCATGCCACCAGTTGGAAAAATCGGCAGGGCAGAGTGGGGCTGCCGCAGGCATGTCGGGGAGAATCGGCAGCCCCGACGAAATCGGCCACGTTGAAAGAAGGGGCTGTGGAGGGCGAGTGTGGCCATCCAAGGCTTGATGAAAAAGGGGGCCGGCCCAGAAACTGGGGCGGTGGCAGCCATGCTACCTGTTGGAAAAATCGGCAGTGCAGCCGCAGGCGTGTCGGCATAAATCGGCAGCCCCGACAAAATCGGCCACGTCGACAGAATGGTCTGGGGACAGCGAGCCTGGACAGCCAAGGCATGATGAAAAGGACTGCGCGTCCTGAAACTGGGGCGGTGGCAGCCATGCCACCAGTTGGA